TTGACCTATCATGAGCTCAATCAGATCTACTGTGTAAAAATCTGACAATGTTTCAAACAAACAGCAATCATCCATCAACTCTACATATTTACAACAAAAACCATGCTTTGGCATCTAAGTGGATCGGTAGGTTTCATAGTGCTAAGTTCTTGAAGAAGGTAGTACTAGAAAAAACGTAAAACCATTGCCCATCCTTTTTCCCTGCATCCGGTTTGAACTTTACATGCCCCAAGGAAGTGAAATTGTGGGATATTGTTATGTTGATTGATGATGAAGAGCATATATATGTCGGGTATAGTAAAGTGATCCAATGGGACACATTTTGCTGCTAAAACTCGGGGCTTAAAGAAAAGGGAAGGGTAATGTGCCCTCACATAACAAATTTTTTTATCAGATTCAATGAGCACACATACTTTTTATCTTCGCTAACTAAACTCAATCAGAAGAATTCAAACCAAACAGCAGCTATCCAGCTCATCGCAGGCCCTTGGACCATGTTCAAACTACAAGCCCCAAACCATGATCCAACCCCAGCTTATAATGTAGCCATAAATCAACATGATTCACTAAGTTAGCCCAACATAGGTTTAAGGACATATTGACATAATCACATCTACACTAGGGGGACGGTGCAAAGACTAAGTTTTGGCACCACAATTGGCTTGATGGACAAGCTCTTAGGTACCTAGCCCTGAACTTGTTTCGCCTAGTTTCAAGGAGAAACCGAACGGTGCAACAAGAGCTCCGGAACAACAATTGGATGCACAAGCTAGGAAGGAAAATCACCTCGGCTGTCCACATAGAGGAGTTTGTGTCCCTTTGGATACGAATACAGGATGTGCACCTACAACAGGGCGTCCAGGACACCATCATCTGGCGTTGGACCAAGGATGGGAATTACTCCACCCGCTCGGCCTACAGAATTCAATTCAAAGGCTCGCTCGTCCCCTTCCGTACGGAGTTGATTTGGAAAGCGCATGTGGAGAACAGATGCAAGATCTTCGCCTGGATCTTAGTGCAAGATAAAATTCTAACGGCGCAAAACCTACAAAGGAGAGGGTGGCCACACCAACAACAATGCGTGTTGTGCAACGGTCCCTTAGAGACCGGCCTCCACCTATGCCTATGTTGCCCTTTTGCTAAGGCGGTTTGGGATCAAATCCTCTCGTGGGAAAACTTCACTCAACTTCAACAGCAACCCCAGGTAGACCCCACCCATATCAGGTCATGGTGGGAAGAGGTGGCAAGGAAAGTGCCAAGATCTAAGTGTAGGCGGCTTAACGGGGTAGTAATCTACACATTTTGGAATATTTGGAAAGAGAGAAATAGGAGAATTTTCGACAAGAAGATAGAAACGGTGCCGCAAGGATAAAAGAAGACATAGAGCAAAGGAAGAGAGCACTCGCTTATGTTTAGTCTGTTGTCACCCCCCTTTTTGGCCGTGCGTCTCCCTCCTTTACATGCTTGTGGGGGTTTGAAACCCTAATCTCGAGTGTCCTTGCTTGTACATAAACTTTCTTTCCCTATCTTAATTGAAAGGTAGAGCTCCTGCCATTGCGTTAAAAAAAAATAGTACCCAAATTAAGACTGCACACAACCATAGAAAATAACAACAATCATCAGCGGAGGAATAACAAAAGATACATTTTATCTATACTAGCTATTTTCTAATAACATGGTATTTTTTATTTTCTTTGTTTCTTTTACATTTCTTAAAGTCTGTTTTTGTATTCTGCTATCTTTTTTTGTCTATGTTTATTAGCAGTAAGGGGTAAACCCTCCTGATCTCCCAAAAAACATTTCTAGTTTCAGAAACAACCAGCTGAACCAATAGCTGTTTATCTAACCTCAAATTATTTCCTCGGGAAAGTATTCACATGTATTATGGTTGACCTATCAAGAGCTCAATCAGATCTACTGTGTAAAAACCATGGCACCTGACCATGTTTCAAACAAGCAGCAATGATCCATCAACTCTACATATTTACAACAAACGAAACCATGCTTTCGCATCTCAGTGGACTGGTAGGTTTTAAAGTGATGCCCTGCATCTGGCATCCGGTTTGAACATTACATGACACCAGGAAGTCAAATTGTGGGATATGGTTGTGTTGATTGATGATGAAGAGCATATATATGTCAGGTATAGTAAAGTGTTCCCAAAATGCACACCCCCCCCAACACACACACACCACCACCACTTCTTATGAGCTCAGTCAGATCTACTGTGTAAAAAAACCATGGCATTTGACTAAGCTTCAAAGAAACAGCAATTATCCATCAACTCTAGATATTTACAACAAAAGAAATCACGCTTTGACATCTAAGTGGATTGTTAGGCTGTAAAGTGCACAAGTGGCTAAGTTGCTAGAAGAAAGGTAGTGCCAGACAAACATAAAACCAGTTTCCATACTTTTCCCCTGCATCCAAGAACTTTATAGTGCCCCAGGAAGTGAAACTGTGGGATATTATTCAGATTATGTTGATGAAGAGCATATATATGATAGGTATAGTACTGATCCCAAAATGCTCCCCTCCCCACCCTCTTTGTTGGAAAAAAACACATGATAATATAGATACAACAGTTTTCAAACTACTGAGTATGACATGTAAAGAAACACTCAGAAAATCAAGATCCTTTTCAAAAGAAAAAATGGCACATTTTTCTGCTAAAACTCCAACAAGGGGCTTAAAAAGGAAAGGCTAATGTGTCTTCACATAACAAAAATCTTTTTATCAGATTTGATGAGTACAGAACGATGGGCCGTATGGAACTAAATGTTGCCAAGAAACAGTTCACCTCAGAGGGGCGACTCTTTTCTTTACATTGTGCAGTTTTCTTCAGTTTTAGTATAAAATCAATTATCCTAGGGCAGATAAGTAACATTTTTCTCCTACTAAGAAACTTGTTGATCTAAAAATTTAAACTTGATTTAAATATTCCTCTGGTATGTCCACGGGTCACCATTGCTTAAAAAGCATGAACAAATGATGCCTACAGCCTACTATCTGCAAATAGCCTCAGCAGCTAATCAATTCAATTTAATCATTATTTCTCTGCTGCACATAATTTCAGCATAAGATCTGAACAGCATAAATAAAATAAATAAAGATGTCTCATCCCAAGTCTGTGGTGAACACGAACCAATGTTTGGCTAAGCTACAATCTAACATCAAGGTCATACTACTTCTGAAAGTTACCAGTAGTATAAACTGCACAATAGAACAAACAAGCATATTCTTAGTTGCTTGTTGTCCTGAATGTAAGAATTCAGGTGTCCTTTACAAATCACAAGTCACAATCATATTATTAGTTGCTTGTTGTCCTGAATCTGAGAATTCAGGTGTCCTCACAAGTCCACAGAAATGATCTATCTTACGGCTCATGTAAATGTTATCAATATATTGCAAGGTAGAGGCTAGAGCCATGAAAATTCTGGAGGGCCACAGTGAACAAACAATGTCGGTATTTGTGGGCGGAACTGGTGGTTGAGGTCGAACCTGGACGAGGTAGTAGAAGATCCGGAGGCCCTCCGGGTCCTTGCTGGACTGGACATCGACGAGGGAGCCGATCTTGGAAGTGGTGAATGAAATGTGCTCGTTGCCCATAACGATCTCGAGCTCCTGGCGGCCGATGCGGTCGGGCTCGGGCCAGTTGCTGTCGTCCTCCTTCATGATCTGCGGCGGGGGTGGGGGTCAACCAATCAAATCAAAAAAGAAATCCGCTCTTCAGTCGCTCGCAAACCCTAGCTAGGTCTTCGTGAGAGACCGAGAACCCAATCGCTGATGAATGAACAAGGGGGGAAAAAATGGGAGCGCCCACATACATCGGACTCCTGGATGATCCTCCTGGCCTCGCGGAGGACGGAGGGGGAGACGAAGACCTCCTTGCGGATCATGGTGTCGTTCTTGTAGTTGGAGTTGTTGGCGTAGCGGAGCTTGCCGTCGGGGCGGAACTCGAACTCGAGGAACTCGTGCCCGAACTTGCCCTTGTGCCCCACGTAGTACCGCAGGTAGAACTCCCCCTCGCCCGCGCCGCTGTTCTCGCCGCCGACCGCCGCCATCGATTTCCTTTTTTTTTCCTACCCTTCTCGGCGATTGGAATGGAACTGGATTGGGGTTTTGGCCGCCGCAAACGTGCCCGCCTTCTCTTCCAGCCTTTCCTCCTCTCGTGTGGAGTAATCTGCAAATATCCATCAATCTGGGCCGCACATCTCTTGACCTAACGGAGCAGACAGTTTGCAAATATCCCAGTCCAAGATTTTGCAAATTGCCCCCTAATTTGCATCCTGGAACAGGGAGGAATCCATCCAGGCAATCTCTCATCTCTGAATGTTTCTGTCAGACTTGAGTTCTTTTTTTTGCATAATTAGACTTGTTAAAGGCTCTGCTGAACACTACAACAGCTATCTCGTTAACATTCTGTCAGGTCACTCTCCATCGGGACTACAAGACTGGACTCTGAAATCTCTCTTAACAGAGTTCAAGAGCAACAACAGAGAGGTGGAACATCAGGTTTACAAAAATCACAGAAGTCAAAATATCACTTCCCATTCTCTAGCAACTCAAGCTAGGACCCTTTCTAGTAATTTTTCCTCTTCTTGTTTGCTCAAACCTTGCTCAATCATAGGCAATCATGCCCGTAATACAACCCCTGCAGTCTGTGTGCACTGGGACAATGTTCTCTTACTGCATGTAAGATGTTCTTGATTTAATAGAAGCAGTTTCTTATAAAAAAGGTTTTTCATTCCTGAAAAAAAATGTTAAGTTTTTCCCTTGGTTTTTGTTAACAGAGAAATGGCAAGCAGCAGCACAGGTAGAACAGAGAAAAATGAAGGAAAATAACACATTCAGAATGATTGAGATCCCCAATTTGACTCTTCACAGAACAAATCAATCTGAATTCATTTTTGAGCCACAATGCACAAACTAGCAATACAGGTGCAACAGAGAACTGGGTTTCATTTTACAGCAACAGAAGACTGAAAACTGCTAGAAGCCTACAGCTGCACAGTCTGAGAAACTCTGGGTCGCTTGGAAGCCGCCATGAGCCCAACAAGAGATGGCAGGGGCTGCGGAACTGGCAAGTTCATCGACCTGTACAGCCTCCTCAGGTTCGCATTAAGGCCCTTTGATGATCCGACAACGGTTGAAGAATCGCTCGCCCTTTCAGAATACCTATCAGAGTTCTTCTCAACTCCTGATGATGTAATAATGGTGTCCTCCTCGGTAGCTGAAACTGTAACATGCACAGCTGAGATCGATTTAGTCACTTCCATTCTGTCTTTACCTTTGCCAGTCACCTTATGCCTGCAAACTTCCATCAAACGAGCATGAACATTCAGATTCTGTTCTTGAGCCCCCGATTCAGACTCTCCATTCCCTTTGTCATCTTTATTACTCTGTTCACTCTCTGCCCTCAAATTCAGATATTTCCTTCCATGTTCAGTTAAATCAACTACTTCTACTCGATCATCAGATTTGCTGTCCTTCAACAACTCAGATTCATAGACTGAACTCTGCTCCTTTGTTGCAGTTTCAGTTAACCCAACTACTTCAACAGGCTTGCTATTGCTACAAAACCCAGATTCAGAAACTGAATTCTGCTCCTTTGTTGCAGCTTCAGTTAACTCAACTACTTCAATAGGCTTGTTATTGCTACAAAACCCAGGTTCAGCGGCACAATCATTGACTTCAAGCTCAACATCACCAATGATCTCAACACTCTCATACTCGTAGTTCCACAGTTCAGGTTCATGTTGCGGTAATCCGAACCTTGCACTTCCGAAAAGCGTGACAGGCGGCTCAACTCTGATCTCAAAATCAATCACTGCTGCTTCTGCAACCTCCTCTACTACCTGGCTGTCATCATCAGAGGCACACTCATGAACGCAAGAACTGAACAATTGGTCGCTCTTCTCGACAGCTTGTGCTGTCAGCAGCACTGCCTGCGGCGAGCCGGTGACAGTAGACATTCCATCAGGTATCCCGAGCAACATCCAGAGGGGATCATCAGGGCCAAACCGGGACAGGGAGCAGTGCTTCCTGACATAGCTGAGGTCCACCGCCATGCACGGCGGCGTGGTGGAGACGACCCATTTGGGCTTGAGGATCCCCAGCGCCTGCACCAGCTCGTCCCGGGACGAGTGCATCGACAAACAGACGTGCCAGACCCCGAACTCGTCGCGCATCGCCTCCGTCAGCACCGGTTTCTGCTGCTGCTGCTGCGTCGACGCCGACTCCTCCGGTGGCGGTGGGTCGTAGTACACGTACCACTGCGAGGAGGGCCTGATGATGAGGGGCTCCGGCTGGTGCGCGGCGCGCGCCAGCGCGAGGATCTCCGTGGCCCGCTCCGACAGCCGTGGGAACGGGATGACGTGGAAGCGGGTGGAGGCCGCGGCGTCGTCGGCCGCGAGGATCTCCGGCTCGACGTGCGTCAGCGTCTGGTGGCAGTCGGAGTTCCTCTCCCTGTCGACGTAGATCTTGGACCCGAACGCCTTGGACACCCCGATGAGGACGTCCTCCTGCCCCAGCATGTCGCAGACGAGGTACACCACCGGCGCGCTCGGGTGCTTCCAGACGCAGTTGATCACCTGGCGGATGGAGTCCTCCTTGGTGGGGAACCGCAGGGCGCACCGCGCGAAGGTGCAGTCGAGGAAGAGGTAGTCGATGCGGCGCGCGAGGTGGGGCGGCGTCAGGGCGGTGAGGCGGTCCGGCGTCAGGCGGCAGTCGCCCGTGTGCAGGACAGCGCCGAAGGGGCCCTCGAACAGGAACATCACGGCGCCTGGATGTTAAACGAGGAGCGGATGAGCCCGGTCGGTTATCCCAATCGACGAGGGGAAATGAGGAGGAAGAGGGGGCGGCGCGCTGACCTGGGCAGTGGTTGGCTTCGAGCGCGGTGACGGTGAAGTCGCCGTCGGGGTCGGGGACGCGCAGCGGCGGGTGGCCGACGTCCAGCTCGACGAACGCGGCGCGGTCGAGCTGGGGGAAGATGCGGAGGGCGATGAGGATGGTGAGGCGGGAGGCGTAGACCGGGGAGGAGGAGGAGGCGGAGACGGCGGAGGTGGCGACGATGCCGGCGAGGTGGTCGCGGTGGGCGTGGGTGAGGAAGCGGTGGCGCTTCAGCGACGACGCGGGCGTCCACGTGTCCACCGCGAACGGCAACCCCCGCGGCATCTCGATCGGCATCTCGCTCGCTCGTCTCCTCCCGGAACCCGGCCAGGCATTCTCCGGCGAGCGATCCGATCCGCGGATTGGATTGGCGCCGCGCTCGCCCAAATTTGTTGGTGTTTGGTTTTCAGCTGAGGGCGGGAGGAGAGTGGGGAAGGCGGGAGTTTTGAATTTTTGCTCTCTTTCACTTTCGGCGAGCGGAGTCCTGCACTCCTTCACTTTCTAGTACAGTACAGTAGTTTTTACTAGAGCAATAATATTTTCTATTAGGAATGAACAAGAAAAAGATTACAATTTTCCCTCTCTTTTTATACAAGTACGTTTTTTTACCTGGTTTTCCTTCTTTATTTTTATATATATTATGGTGTAGCCAAATAATCGAGGTGTTTTTACTTCTTTATATTTTCTCTATAGTACCATAATAAATAAATTAGTAAACTTCACTAATGGTTTTAAATAGGTCTATGATTTACATTTTTGACACCTTAAATTTGGTTTTAAGGTACCAATCTTTTACAAGACGAAATTTGTACCATAGCATCTTGCACTTTATTAAGTTCTCATTTTTTTAATTTATAATTTAAATTTTTTTTAAAAAAATCTTTGGTAGAGGCATGTCTTATGATATCTAAAACTTCGTAGTCGAAATTTCTTTTCCATTTAACATTGTTTGGAAACCAAAGTATTTAATACAAGTTTCATATACGTGTCGTTTGGTTTTTGTAGACAATTCTTTGCATGTCACTCAACAACTAACTGTACTAGCTCTGTTCAAGGAACTGTGAGGAGGATATTGATAATCTATTCTTTGGCTGTGAGTTTGCTAAAAGATGTTGGTCGGCTATTGAAGCGCCCTGGTATTCAGAAACTCAAATGTGATATAAATACTAGTCCCATGAGATTAGTAACACATTTATTACATCAGATAAGTTTTAGTGTAGTAGTCTCGACAAGCGTGGACAATGAAGACATGCCACGATTAGAACTAACCAAAACATAATATAGGTTCAACAGACACAGAAACAAAATGAATCATCAAACATCTGACGAATCCCAATGCCACAGGCTTAGTTGGGTGTAGACACTACCTTATTCGTACGCCACGTCAGAGTCAAAGTCTGAATCTTTCTCTGTACAACAAAGCAAGGGTGAGTACAAAGTACTCAGCAAATCTAACCTTACCCTACGGAATGAGATAACAGTATATGCATATGGATAAATCAAGGATAAAGCTTGGTTTTATTTGCATAAAGCTTTCTTTTTAACACATGTAGGGTTTCATTTTATAAATACCTTTGCAAAAGACATATATTTTCCATATATAATAATATTTCTAAAAAAGGGTTTATCACAATTTTAGGTGTTGTTGAACCCCTGTTCCTACAACACATGGCATACAACACATGGCAGACAACCATTCATTTCCAAAATCGCACTCACTCTCATTTTTCCACTCATCCCAACCCATCTAGTTGTTGAAACCAAACCATAACCCGTCCAAGACCGTGGACACAGCTATCTAGATATATTTTACACTCTGCAGAGGTTGTACACTTCCACCATAAGTAGGGTACCGTAACTTAACACCGTAGTGCAAGCATGGATCCATCAAAGTCATTACCCTCCATAGCTAAGTACTGGTGCTCACCACGGAAACACTAAGGACACATCTCATAATACAATAATTTACAGCGCTTATTACATTTCATATAATTCCTCAATTTCCATATATATCTCTTAGTGTCCCGTTGCACACCTGCCTCCAGGTGATTGCCATACCAACTAGAGGGATTTAGGCTAAGCCTTTCCCATGCAAGGCGAGTGGTTGTACGATAAATGAGTTAGGCAAGATGAATCATCAACTCAGTCCTTAATCGAAACAAGGCGGATATCTTCGTGCTTAACCATAAAAGGTACAAGCCCCAACACCACAGCATCCCACAAAAGGAACACCGATCCTCCTAATCTTTAGGGTAATTACCATCTATAACTTGTTCATTAACCCTTCACAATACCCACAGTTTATTTTACAACTCACACAGTTTTTATTTAAAAATCATTGTATTTGAGAAAACGTAGTAACGAGTATCCGTGATAAGTGTCAAGTCCTAAGCATACTAAATAACAGTATTTTGTCATGTCGTGATATTCATTCTTAAGTTTGAGCAAGGCAATTATCAGGTCATATCAATTCAAGGATGGCTATTAAACCGGGTTTTAGCTAAGCAGCGAAAACACTTCGTACGTATAATTGTACATGCAATATTGAAAACAGCTTCTACGGGTTGTGTTTGAAAATAGGATCAACATGCATCAAAGGGGAATAGGCTAGACTTGCCTTCGTCGGCGTCCTCGGCAAACTCCTGCTGGCAGTTCGGATCCTTGACGTCGAACTCGCGGTACTCTCCTCCAAACTTGTCCTGGCCACCAAGATGGTCGTTCGCTTCCTTGGTCACTCCATCAGCTAATGACACGTAAACAATCAAAACAGACAAACAAACACAAATAAATAATCAGATAAATTCCAATGAGCTCTAGAAATTATGAAACTTTATGGATGGATAGAGTTTGACTTTTAGATGAATTTAGGAAGAAGAAGGGATGGAATCGGGGTTAGCATGGTGGAGATATTAATTGTGCAAGGTGGCTCCTAATTAATTAGGAGGAGAGAAAATGGAACGTGACTAGTGCTTGGGTGTGGCCACGTGCTGCTGCTGGTTCATTAGGAAGGAGAAAAAGAATAAGTAATGGGAGTGTTCGGCTAGAGGAATTCTGGAGAATTTTAGATGATTTGAAAAAATACTGGAGGAATTTATGAGAGAAAATACTGTTTTGGATAAAAAAAAACGGATCAAGTTGAATTTAAAGGCATGAATGGAGGGGATTAGTGGCTCACGGCGACGTGAGGGGAACTGGCGTATTTGGCTTTTGGTCCTGGGCTTCACGGTTGCTGTGGGAATAAATGACAGAGGGAGAAGGGAGGTACAGGACAGAGACAGAGACAGAGACACAGACAGAGCGTCGTGCTCCTCGGGCACGTCCGCCATGGACGACTGCCGGAGCTTCGCCCAGCGGCGATTTCGGCTGCTATTTCCGAATCCAAAGGCATGGGGAGGGAGAGGAGGATGAGGGGATTCCAACAGGTTAGCTACCTCGGTGGATTACGGCTCCGAGAGGGAGATCGACGGAGCGAGCTGAAGCTCGGGGAAACAGAGGAAGCTCGATTTGAGGGGGTGGAAGGTGAGCAGCGTCACGGGATGGCTCGGCGAGCTCGAGTGGTGATGGAGTGCTGCTCGGCGTCGGCTTTTATAGGCCGGAGGAGCGGAGCTGTGCCAACGCTCGGCTGAGTTTGCAGCTCGCCATTAATGGCGGCGCTGTGCTCCGAGCGGCAGCTAGCGAGCGTCTACTTGCAGCTGCTTGGCTCTGTCGTAGCACAGGGCGACGGGACGAGGCGTGCAGGGGCGGTGCAGCACAGGCGACGGGACGATGCGAGCAGGCAGTGGTGCGGCGTGTAGCGGGGGAGGTGAAGCTGGGCGCGGTGGTGAGCTCGGATGTGTGTGCTTGCCCAGTGCAATGAATTCGCACGATGAGCATGCTGCTGTTGCCTGGGCGCGTGCTTGCTGCTACTTGCTCTGTTGGGGATGTGCCTGGTGGTTCAGCTGTGCATCGAATGACTGCGTGCATGGTGAACGCACACACCATCGCTGTGCTATAGTGTAGTCTTGTGCTGGTGCTCCTATTGATTCAACGAGGTGGTGGAGCCAACGTGTCGCGGTGGTGCGCGAGCACCACGGTCGGCGAGGGGGTCCGGGCGCGGACGATGCCGCGGCGGCGGCGGTGGTGGTGGGGTCAGCGCATGCGCCGTTGTCGGGCGAGGGCGAGTGAAGCGCGCGAGAGAGGTGGGGGACGAACGGATGATGCTGGTACTATAGTGTGCAGGATATAAATTTGGAAGAGATGACTGAAACGGATATAAGAGATTGACAAGAGATGGGAGATGATTTAAATAGAGCTCATATGATTTAATTTTTAAAATAAGTTTTGAAAATAGTTTTTAATGCGAGTAATTTTAGATATGAATTTTTTTTTTGATGTTACGGCTATTGGCATCCAGTGGTATGAATCTATTGGTTTGTTTCAGAGGCTTGCTCTTGCAAAATCTCAGTGCAACCTGCCTTTCTTTACTGAGCTAGTCCTGATTGCTAGTTGGGAGGTTTGGAAGATTAGAAATGATAAGGTTTTTAATAGGAGTGATGCTAGCTTCAGTGTACGGTTTTGTAGTTTTAGGAACCAATGTTTACTTCAGTCTGTCAGATTCAAGGAAGACATTAGGTCATCCTCTTGCTACTGGTTGGATGCAATCAGCTAGCATGTTTTGTAAGTACTCCTCTTTTGCCTTGTTAATATAATTTCAAAAGTACTGTGGGGATCCCATAATTTTTTGTTAAAAAAAACTAACTGTACTAGCGAGAAAGTTAACACCCACTCAACGAAAGTGACATTAGTGGAAGACAAATTTAAAAGTTGGTATGTCCGGTACGAGAAAACTTCAACTCAAAAACTAGTTATTGGGGGAGATACAAAACGTGTTTTGAGGTTTTGAAGCTCTTCTCTTCAGCAGAACGAGAAAATCCAGTTCCCAATGAGAAAAATAGTGGATTAGGGAAAAAGAAGTCTCCCCTTTAATTGAGGGGTGGGAGGCTATGATTTGAGGACTGAGATTTTTTTTTCAAATTGGGGTTGGGTTTGGGAAGTGAAAATAACAATTTTTTTCTCATCGAGGGTTAGGAAAGGGGGACTGCTGGAGATGCTCTTAACCAACCATCTTTTTCAATAACACAGAGACTTGTCTCAATGGCTAGAGCATCATCTCCGAGAGTCTTTCTTAAACCCACTCTCTTCAATCGTCATTTTGAAGAGTCATTTCCATCGACTACATCTTTACATTCTCCAACAACTTTTTTCTAGAGAACCATCTTTGGCTAGCGAGAAATCCAGAAGTTCACCATCTTTTGCTAGCGAGAAATCCAAAATAGAGGGTGGATATATTTGGAGATCCAATTAAAGAGGCTGTTGGAGGATTTTTTTTTCTACTAAAATCTCTATTCTTATTGATTAGAAAAAATATAAATAGTCTGTCGGAGTTGCTCTGACCAATATCCTCTCCAAATACATTGGATACGGGTTTGGATACTTTCAGCGTCACGTGAAAAGCGGGCTTAGATACTCACTCCCAAACCCAACTTCTGATGGGCCTAGATACTCCCACTCCCAAACCCAGTTACCCATGGTGCAAGTCCAATAACTAATAATACATAATACCTAAGTCCCATCTATCTCATCCTATCGGTACAGAAAGTGACCAACTAGTGAATATTTATAGTTTTGCTGTACGTTGTGATCAGAGGTGGCCTAGCATTCAATGACACAGGATTTATACTGGTTCAGGCAATGTGCCCTACGTCCAGTTTGGGTCGGTCGGTGACTTTATTCCTGAGCCCAGGTGCTCGAAGTCTGCAGTGGGGTTACAAACGAGAAGGAGAAAGATGGGGGGTACCAGAGGCCTGGTCGGCTCCGGTCGGAAGGGCCGAGAGCGACGGGAACTTCGCTATGAGCTAAGTGTTCAAGTGTGTGCTCGAAGTCCGAACCCGGCGGTTCTGTGGTTGTGAGCTATTGGACTAATGAATCTAAAGGAATTGAGCTTCAAATGAATCGGTCCTTCTGTTGGAGGGAGTGCATCCCCTTTTATAGATGAAGGGGATGGCTTTACAGGTGAGAGGGAGAGGGTACATATGCTTTTAAGCCTTGTTGCCCATGCCGACGAGGGTTGGATAATGGTAGGCGGCCACTGTAGAATGTCAGGTGCACATAGGAGGTTACGTTGTCTTCTTCAGGAAGGGTTGATGTCAGTACCTGCAAAATACTGCTTGCCTAGAGGCATGTGAGGAGCCTCACCACGTTTACCGGCCATGGTGAATCCCGGCGCCTACAACACTATTGATGCCCAGAGGCATGTGAGAGGCTTTTTGTCGTACGGGAGTTTCAACGGCGCATATAATACTATAGAGATAAATGTCAACGCCTACAATATTGTTTGTATTAGGGCGGTTGTGGAGCACTGTTACCGCAG